TCATGGAACTGGGAAGCATGATGGGAATGATGCTGAAAGTAGTTGTTCTTGAACAAAAGAAACTGCTGCTAACAAGAAGTGCTCAGTGCCTTCAGTTCTTTTTCTTGTCCCTCTACATCTTGCTTTGCTCCCCTTTTGCTGTCAGACTCCCATAACAAGCCTGGTTTGCTGTGTTGTGTATGGTGTTCAATTCTGTCCAGGTGCATAGAAAAATAACAGCAGCTGATCTTAGGCATTCACCATGGCAACAAAATAGGTCAAATTAGCCTAGCAAATTATGGGCAAATTAGACTTGCAGAATGGTCACTTGGTCTCATCTTTCCCTCTGTAGCACAATGGCTGCCTGTTACTATTGTTGATCATGAAGGAGCATGTGCATGTGTTCCTCTTGTCTCTTTCCTACTGTATCTCTGCCAACTTATCTGCCCTTATAGCCTCCAAACCCAACTGTTCCTGGGACACTGGTGAACTGACCTGGTTTCCACAAGGGTAGAAGAGGGGGAGGACTTTGCTGGGATGATCTGGTGCTTAGGACGTGGAACCTGTGGTCAGAGGGGGATTCCTCAGAGCGGTGAGGGGCAGCTTTTTCCTGCCCTTAAGGCACTTGAGGCCTGATGTAAAACCCAGTAAGGAGGAGCCGGGTCTTGGATGCAGAGACCCTCCGACAACCTGCTACATCACACCTTGGCAGTATGTGCAGAGGAGGTTGGCAGCAGCTGGGATTTGCACTGCTATCTGGGTGAAGCAGTAGTGCAGTTGAATAGTGGTATGTAGCTGTGTGTGATGGTATTTGTTCTCAAGCTGATTGGGGAAGATGAGGGGAAGGCAAAGTTGTGATGACACTTTGGTCAATATAATTTTAATCTACTGCTGGCCCAACTGAAACCAGGAAGGCTTGGAATTTTATTATATGGTTCTCCTTGCCCCATCTTGCCTCCCAACTTCTCTTCAGTTGAGCATCTCTGGAGAGTTTCTTTCTCAGATTTACCAAGGTGGTTTTTATCTGGTCCATCTGTAACCTTGTTGTTTGTACTATGCCTAGAGTTGTCATGTGAGTCTGCAAGCTAACACAGTACATTCATGCAGAAGGAAACCTTCTTGGCCCTAAATAGCTCATGGACCAACCCATGTTGAGAGGCAATGATTTGCCTATGGTCACACAGCAGTCCATAGATTCACAGATTCATGGATACAGGGTCAGAAGGGACCTTGCAGATCTTCTAGTCTGACCCCCTACCCTGGGCAGCAGAGAAAAGTGGGCTCAAATGACCCCAGCCAGGTAATTGTCAAGCCTCCTCTTAAAGACCTCCAAGGTAGGAGCCAGCACCACTTCCCTTGGAAGTTGGTTCCAGATCCTAGCCGCCCTGACTATGAAGTAGCACCTTCTAATGTCTAGTCTGAACCTACTCTCTAACAATTTATGGCCATTATTCCTTGTTACTCCGGGAGGTGCTCAGGGGAACAAGGTCTCTCCCATTCCCTGCTGATCCCCCGTAGTAAGTTTATAGACGGCCACCAGGTCCCCTCTCAGCCTTCTCTTGTGAAGGCGGAACAAGTTAAGGTCCTCATAGGGTCTGCCCTGCTGTCCCTGGATCTTGCGAGTGGCCTGCCTCTGGACCCTCTCGGTGCTGGTCACATCCCTCCTGAAGTGCAGTGCCCAGAACTGGATGCAGTACTGCAACTGCGGCCTGACCAGTCTATCCGTCGCATAGAGGGGGAGGATCACCTCCTTGGTCCTGCTTGTGATGCATCTGTGGATGCACAACAAGGTGTGGTTAGCCCTACTGACTGTGTCCTCGCATTGGCGGCCCATGTTCATCTTGGAATCAATAATGACTCCAAGATCTTTTTCTGCCACCGTGCTCTTGAGAAGGGAGTTCCCCAGCCTATAGGTATGCTGCTGGTTCTTACTGCCCAAGTGTAGCACCCTGCACTTGTCAGTATTGAATCCCATCCTATTCTCATTTGCCCACCCCTGTAACCTGTCCAGGTCCAGCTGTATCCTGTCCCTCCCTTCTAGCGCGCCCACCTCACCCCAAATCTTGGTGTTGTCCGCGAATTTAAACAGGGTGCTTTTCACCCCCTCGTCCAAGTCGCTAATAAGGAAATTGAACAGTGGGGGACTCCACTGCCCGCCTCCCTCCATATCGAAAATGACCTGTCCACCACCACTCTCTGAGTATGACCCCTCAGCCAATTAGCAATCCATCTGACTGTGTAGGCATCAATGCCACAGTCGCCTAGCTTTTTAATGAGACTGGGATAGGAGACAGTGTCAAAGGCCTTCCTGAAGTCCAGAAAGACTACATCCACCATGACACCTGTGTCCAATGATTTTGTGACCTGATCATAGAAGGCAATCAGGTTGGTTTAACAGGACCTGCCCCTAATGAACCCATGCTGGTTGCCCCTGAGCATCATCCCCGCTGCTGGCCCTTCACAGATGTGCTCCTTGGTAATCTTCTCAAAGAGCTTCCCTGGGATTGAAGTAAGACTAACGGGCCTATAGTTGCCTGGGTCCTCCCTCCTCCCTTTTTTGAAGACGTGGACCAGATTGGCTTTCTTCCAGTCGTCCAGCACCTGGCCAGAGCACCACGAGTGCTTGTAAAGCCGTGCCAGGAGCCCCGTGATACCCCCTGCCAATTACCTCACCACCCTGGGGTGGAGAGCATCTGGACCTGCTGATTTGAACGTGTCCAGCCCCTCCAGAAGTTCTCTAACTAGATCCTCCCTGACCCTAGGCCTAGCGGAGTTTCTCCTGAGTCCGTCCTGAATCTCTGTGGGGGAGTCCCGGTCCCTGCACAAGAAAATGGAGGAAAAGAAATTGTTAAAAAGGTCTGCTTTTTTGTCTGGTGCAACCACCAGATTGCCTAGCGTATCCTGCAGGGGCCCTACATTACCTGGTGCCTTCTTCATACTCCCTATGTATTTAAAAAAGGACTTTTTGTTATCCTTGATCCTTGCTGCTAGCCCTAGTTCCGTATCTGCCTTAGCTTTCCTAACAGCCCCTCTACAGACTCGAGTGGTGGAGGTATACTCCTCTTTGGTGATAGCCCCTCCCACTGGGTGTACGCCTCCTTTTTGACAATCAGGCATTGCTGAATGCCTCGGTGAGCCAGGGGGGCTTTTGAGCACTCTTGCCCCCTTTGATTCTCATTGGGATTGTCCTCCCTTAGGCTCTGAGTATCGTCTCCTTAAGGAGCGACCACTCATCTTGAGCACCCAGTTCCCCTACTCTCCAGGATCTCAGTGCCTCTCCTACCAATCTCCTCAACTCATTGAAGTTGGCCCTCTGGAAGTCAAGGGCTGCTGCCTTGCTGCAGGCCCTTGACACCCTGTGCTGGATGGTGAATTCCAGCAGGCGATGATCACTGTCGCCCAGGTGGTCAAGGACCTGGAGTCCCTTCACCAGGTCGTCGCCTGTGGCTGAACCTTCCTGACACTCAGTCCAATGCCCACTCTGAGGCCACACTGCCTCTTGTGCTGTCTACCCATAGCAAGTTGCATGCCACACAAACCTAGAACAGATTTTCCTCTCTGTCCCACTTTGAGCAGAGCAAAATGTGCAAGGTTGCAGTTGCATGTGTGTGTATTAAGGTAGAAAGAATATTCACAATTGCCTTTGAACCTGCATGTACCTGAGACCACCTCAAGCATAGAATGTAACTACTGAATTTGTACTTGTTTCAAAGGTGAAGGACTGTGAAGTTCCTGAAGCAGTGAAGATTTTGGAACTGGGGACCATGAAGCGACTTCCATAGATTGCTTGTTGCATCTCTTGTGACTTGAAGGGAAGGGGTCACAGAACTGCACAGTGGACTGCACAGTGGACCTGCCTCTCTCTTATGACATCCACCTGAGTGACCCTGATATATCTTTGCTTTCAGGAATCCTGCCGCATTCCAGTGGTGGCACCGAGACTGACTAGAATCTGATGACAAAGGATACTGAACCAGGCACTATGGATTCCCATCCGTCTGCTTGTCTAACTCAGTGCACAAATATACCAGTGACAATCATGAACAGTTATAGAAGTCTTGACTAGAACTGGATTTACAGAACCAGCTAGTTACAGGCAGGTTGTTGTGCTCAACAGCCAAAATCTGAATCTAGCCATCCCACTGCTAATAAGTTAACAATCCTCCAGCCCCCTGCCCCTCAAAAAAGAGGGAATCATATAATTGACACCAAAGAGATAGCAAAAGTGCCCTATCCAACATGTTGGGCCAGGGTGCTTTGGCAGATTGCACTATTTAATATCCTGTGGCAGCAGGGGCCATTCTTAACAGTGCCTGGAGCCCTGGTAAACAGCATAATACATTTTAGGGTGTTCCTTTCTTCTGTATATTTCAGCTGCTCCTCCTCAAATAAGAGGCAAAAGACAGCCACCCCACTCTGCCCAGGGGTCTTGAACTTCCCCCTCATGCCCCTTGTTATTATTTTCTCTTTCTATCCACCCAATGGCTGAAGATAGCCAGATGAGACATGTCACAGGTGGGATTTAGCCTGCTCTTATCCTATTTTGTGTTCACTGCACCAGGATGGATAGACTGTAAATCCCTTTCCACAGGGCAGCAAGTGAATCTTTTCCTACATCAAGGCAAGACCTTGATTGCAGTGCCTCTTTCTTCCCTGATGCCTGAAGCTAGTACCTCCTTCCTTGTTCCCAAGAGGTTTAGTTAGAAGCCTAATTGCACGCAGGATCCCTAGGTTTGGAGCTGTGGTTATCTCTGGCAGGGGCTATAGTTATTATTGGCAGCCTGGGGCCAGGTCACTAGCAGAGACTGAACATCTTCACTGGAAGGGTACAGTGTAGCTGTTGGGGTTGGAGATTTTTTCCCTGCAGATATTACTTCTGTGGCTGCTTGCCAAGTGCCCCTCTCCTCCACTGCTGCTGTGACAGCAGGA